TCACCTCCTTTATCCCAAATGTCAACTTAAGGATGTTAATATTACATATCTAAGGCAACAGGTGAATTTTTCAGTTCTTTGTAAACAATCAAGATGATGGGCACTACAAAACTTGCCTTTTCATTTTCTTGACTCTTTTCTAGGATAATGTTATTTACTTATTTTCAAATAGGTGATTTATTTACTTATCCTGTCTAGGTTTTGTAAAGAAAAGAGAGTAAACTCAAACGACAACCTGCCACTACTCCAATATCAATTTGCTGCTCCAAATTCCAATTGCGTCAAATTATCACCTCCATTTCTCATATTTTCTCCATTTTCTATAATTTTGCCCTAGGTCAAGTCAAAATGTCTTGTATGCGCTAATAGAGAATCATCTCCACAGGCTAAGCTCAGATATCTAACACATCACATACGCCCTTTATTTTTTGGGTAAAATACACTTTAACCCCCTGTGATTTAGCACCTTGTAACATAACCTCCCTAAATTTTTAAAAACTATACATAACCCCCTCATAATTTAGATTACAGTGTCAAAATAACGAAATTTGCATTCAATTATGGAGTCAACTACAATGTCAAAAGTGCCCCTATTTAAAGTTAAAAATTATTTATTAATCACCGAGGGTAATATAAAGCACTAAACCATAAAGGGGTTATATGATAAAATATAAAACTATACAGGGTTAGAGTTTCATACATATTATATTTATATATTTTGGTCACTTCAACCATTTTGATTTTTAAACAAGGGTAATTTCAATATTTTTATGAGTTCCATTACAAATGATCATTTGCTTTGACACTTTAATTCAAATCATAAGGGGGTTATATATAATTTTTGAAAGTGCAGAAAATTACGTGAAAAATCCGTAAATCACTGGAGGGTAAAGTGTATTTTGCCCTTATTTTTCGGCCCCACAATTCTTCTAGGCTCTCAACCCCAATGCTTTTAAACAAAGCAAAATTGTTCAAATATAGGCACACAGGGGACAAGATAGGAAGTCTAAAACAACTGCGTTGTAAAAGAGGTTAGGAAAAACGGATTTGAATTTTAAAGCAACAGAGGTCAAGCTTATTTTCATATAGGTCAAAAATGACTTCTTAGCTCTCACTGAAAGCCTAAATAACATTCTAAAGTGATGTAGGTCAAATTGAGGTTAATTGAGAAAAAGGAAGAGATGCAAGTTTGGTCTCTTATGCTTGCCCTATGTACTAAACTAGTCCCCAATATTGAAAACAATTAAAATGTAGTCCCAAAAGCTGCTATTTATGGGCATATTTTGGACAATTAATAGAAATTCAACAATAATTGATTGTCAAAATTAAATTGGCGTCAGTCAACAGCTTTGAATTTACACTTTGGGTCTCCAATATTTGAACTTTGAATCATTATAGTTCCTTAAGTTCTAAATACTGGTATTGATGTTTCACAATGAAATGAGATGTGAATTGGATCAAAATTTTGTTAGATATGTACTACAATTTCTAATGAAAAATACATGGAAAATTTATTAAACTTCATTTTTTTTTGTTTTCATTTCATATTTTCATGCCACTAATTATGCATATGCTTTTTCGCTATTGCATAGTTGGTTACAAAATTGGCATAAGGTATGCGTTTGTAGTTTTGCACGATGAATTATTAATTGATAATGAGATGTATCATTTGGTCACTTATGTTGAAATTAAATTCTGAATTAAACATTCCTTTAGAATATGAAGAACATATAGTATATTTAAATTAACTTGATCATATTTCTTTTTTCCATTTGAATGTGTTATCGTTAAGTTTAAAAGGAAGCAAATATTTTTTAGAAGTATTTGAATTATTTAGTAAATTCATCAATGTATACAAACATGAGAGTTAATATTTTAAAACTTTCCTATGGAATGTCTTATTTTAATAGGTAGGAAAGACAAGAAAAAACAAAATGAAGTTCTTTAAAGGTAAATTTCTTATACACCTCCTGTAGTTAAGCTCTTTTTAAAACACATTCCTTACGATTCAAAAATATCTACTTACACCCCTTGTGCTTTGGATTCAAGTGGAAGTCAAATTGAAACATACTCCGTCAATGGAGATTTCACTATAATTGCTCCTATAGTGCATCACATTACTTGATTCTAGTAATGTGAGGTCTTAGTTATGTTTTTCTTTCAAAACTGCCTCCATATGAATGTTTACCATTTATAAAAAGCCTAAAAATAGATTTGGCTACTAAATCTATTTTTAACATTTTTATAGATAGATAACGTTCATTTGGGAGGCATTTCCGGAAGAAAAATGCCCCTAAATCCTCACACTAAAATCAAATAACCAATCCCACTATTGCAGCATGTATGTTCAATCCTCCTTTTATTGAGTGTGTTTTGGTTTGTTTTCCACTCAAATCCAGAGCACAAGGAGTGTAAATGGACAATTCTTTTTTAACTATAAAAGGTGCATCTTAAAAAGTGTTTAACCACTAGGGGTCTATGTGAAATTTACACTTTTTTAAAACATTCCCATAAGTAGTTGATGTTGGTACCTACTTTTACTAGCTTTAATAATTGCAATCCCAAACTATAAACATTCGAAGGTCTACATTCACAAGTCATGCAAGAATTTGTGTAGTAATAATTAGAATAATGTTATGTAATTAGTTTTTCTATTTTCTTGTGCTAGTTTTTATTTTGAATATTGTTTGTGTATTAACAAAGTGGTGCCCCTTCTGCAAAACAATTATGTTGTGCCAATTTGAAGTGGTTTCAGGAAGGTTGTTGTGATCAAGGGATGCATTTTTCATATATTTAAAATCCTAACGACAACTATTTGAAATCTAAGGGACAATATTAATTGAAATTTCAAAACATTAGGAACCAAAAATGCAAAGTTAAAATTTTCAACTAACAACGATTTGGTATTGACTCTTAGTTATTGCAATTTTTGGTTAATTGTCTTAAATTTGTCTAAAATCAGAAACTTTGAGAATCACTTTTATTTTAGTCAAAATATTAGAGACTAATTTGACATACAAACCAAACATTGGGTATCAAAAATGTGCATTGATGCAATTAAAAGGGTTAATCACATTTTATCCCCTTAAAGAATACCACATTTCTCAGTTTACCCCCTAACCTTTAATTTTGCTCACTTAACCCCCTTTAGGACAAAATTGTCCTTACATTATTTTGACTTTTCATTTACCTTGTTTTCCTTTCTTTTATTTCTTTTTCTCTTTCTTCTTTATTTAATTCTTCCTCTTTTCCACAAAAATCTTCACCTTAATAATTGAAATTAAAAAAGAGGAATTACAGAGATCCATCTTCTCCTTAAATGATTAAAAAAATATTCAAATCACTTTCCTAAAATACAATTTTTTTAGCCTTTCAATTTTTTTAAATTTGGATTTCCTCTTTCCTTTCTAGTTTCTCATTTTATTCCCAAGAAAATATCTTAAGATGATATTGTGACCTGATTAATAATCATCAATTGAAATTTGTGACACGTGGCATCATACAAAAAATCAAAATTAGTTTTTTATACCTTTTAAACCTTCACCCAAAAATATGCAATTACAAACTCAAAACAAAAATTTTCGTTGAAATGGAATTTTTATTGGGAAGGATGAAAGAGAGAAGAAAGAGAAAAAGAAATAAAAGAAAGGAAAACAATTTCATCTTATGATATTTTCTTGAGAATAAAATGAGAAACTAGAAAGGAAAGAGGAAAATCCAAAATTAAAAGAATTGAAAGGCTAAAAAATTGTATATTAGGAAAGTAATTTGAATATTTTTTTAATCATTTAAGGAGAAGATAGATGTCTGTAATTTCTCTTTTTTAATTTCAATCATTAAGATAAAGATTTTTTTGGGAAAGAGGAAGAATTAAAAGAAGAAAGAGAAAAAGAAAGAAAAGAAAGAAAAACAAGGTAAATGAAAAGTCAAACTAATGCAAGGGCAATTTTGTCCTAAAGGGGGTTAAGTGAGCAAAATTAAAGGTTAGGGGGTAAACTGAAAAATAAGATATTCTTTAAGAGGATAAAATGTGATTAACTCTAGTTAAAACTAGGACTACAAACAAATCGAGTCGCTTGCGAGCTGATTGCAAGCGGGTCGAGTCTGAGCTCGACTCGAGTTCGAACTCAAGTTCAATAATATTAAATTCGTTAGCTTGCGAGTGGGATCGAACTCGATTATATATTTTTTTATTTTTTATTTTAATAGTAAATTACATATATATTCCTAATATTTTATTATTTGTTAAAAAAAATTATTATTTTATTCATTTTTAAAAATATAAAAAAATTATTTTTTATTTTTTAAGCTCGAACTTGATATTTTGAACTTGTCGAATTCGAGTTCGAGTTTTGTAAAATTATGTTGAAACTCGGCTCGATTAAAATCGAAACTCGATTCGGTTCAACTCCTCTGCATCCCCACTTGAAACATAAGGGCAGTGATTCCAGAGTACAACTAAAGGGGTTCTCAGAATTGACCCGTAAAAGTGAAGCACTTTTGGTAAATTTAAAATTCCACCACCAAAATTGTGATCATACCCATGATTCCATTCTGCAATCATAGAGAGCCCCCCTTGACCTGCTTCGGTAACAAAATGCAGAACGAATACACAGTATTTCTTGGGACGGATCAAATTGGGCCTTGCAAGTTTTTGGATCATGAATAGGTATTTCCGCCCCCTCCCTAAGATTGTTACCTTAATCAAACAAATTATACAGTGAATACCTCTTCTTCTTCTTCTTTTTTTTTAAATTTACATAGTGGAACCTTGACATGTGAACCACATGGGAATAATATTATGGCTGCATCTCTAACCACTTTACTCCAAGTTACATCATATCTTTAGTCAGAAACAAGATAGACAAAAAGAAAGAAAAAAGTGCAAAAGAGGTAAGAATGAGAATCACTTAAATAGAGAGTAAGAATATTGTTAATTTCATTTTTGGCCAAAGAATGTTTTATGCATCTATAAATGCAAGTACTAGTCTTAATAGAATGACTGTATTAGTTTCACTTTCTCTGTTGCAAAAGATTACGGCTGAAGGATGACGAAAACTTCAGGTTAGTCTGAAAACTGTATTTTCTTTTTCTGGTTCGCATATTTAATTGTACATATGTGCTCATTTACACTATTTAATTGACTTATTGTTAGTACAAAAGCCATGCTGTTATTCATTTCTTCCTTTTTTTTTCCCAATTTCATTGGAATTGTAGGAAATAGCCAAAATGCAAAATCTTATAAGGCTCTCAATGATGATCCTTTTGCTCATAATTTTGAGCATTATATAGCAGCAGTTGTAATAGTCAATAAATGACTCTATATATATATATATATTTTTCAAATAACCACTTCTAATATTCAAGCAATGAGTCCTATTCATAAGCTTGATCTATGATTTCACACGTGGTCATTGTAACATCAGCAAAGTCATATATAATATAAGTGGCATCTTCAAATTACATTATCTAAATCCATTATAGTTTGACTTTCTCAACAATATGTCATAGACCATTATAGGTAACACTTTATCATTCAAATTCCCCGAATTGGATTTTGTGTGGTGGAGATTGAAGATGGAAGAGATCTTGAAAATGTGATAAGCCATGCAGATGAACAATGTTATCATGGTCTTTTACGTTGTAATATTTACAAGCATTGGTTTAGTGTATATATAGTGCCTTGTACAATAATACTAAACAATATTTTTAGACCCGAATCAGTGGATGAATCAAATGAGCTTTTAGTTTGCGGTTCAACCAGTTTAAGTGATTGAGTCAAATATGCAGCTTTTTATTCATTTTAGAATTAGAAAATCTGAATAATACTATGAAAAAAATTTCTAGTAACTAACTGGCTCAACCATGTAAGCTTTATCAGTTTTGACCAATTTGGATGGTTTTTGATGGGTTACTTATTTTTCATTGTACTCTAATATAAAATTGGAGAAAGTTTTATGGCCGGTTTCCCTTTTCAACCGGTCGAACCAGCCAAATGGATACGGTCTGGCACTGGCAATTTTTGACTCCCAATCCGTTACGCTTTGAAGCCTTGCTCCCTCCACAGGCTGGCGGGTGAGACCACAGACTGGGTCCTCGTAAATGGTTACATTTTGAGCCATCAATATTGCTACAAAGGCGCCTTCACTATTAGTTTGATGTTGTGTCCAATGAGCAGTGGAAAGGACTATCAGTTAATCTCACAGCTCTTTCTGAATCAATTGGGAGAGCAAAAATGGCAATAGAAACTTCAGTATTCTCCAGACCTGCTGTGTTTCTTGAATTCTCAATGTCCCAAATCTCCAAAATAAGGAAGAAATTTGATGGGATTTTAAGTTCATTAATCAGTTAAACAAGTTGAGGAGAAATGCCTTTATGTCATGAAGGATTTAGAAGGAAATTGATTACTGGTTGTGGGGTTTTAGCTTTAATTTCCTGCTTGCTTTCTGAATCCCAAGTTATGGTAGCTAGGTAAGCTTCTCAATTAACTACTTTTTTATTTTCTAAGCTGCTTTTTTGTGTTTTGTGATTATTGTTCTAACTTCCAACACAGAATCATACCCTTCTTTCCAAGATTGGTAAATTTATAGTAGACCTTTTTTTGGAGTGTTTTCTTTCTCTGATAAAGAATTAGGCATTTTGAATGGTGCAACACTGATTAATATATTGGACATCTACATTCAACTTAGCTAATATTTTTCTCAATCTTTGACTCATCAATTGGATGAAAAAACCTAATCATACATCTATTGTAAAATGACACAACATTGTGCATGGAAACTTGTTTCCCTTGAAAGATCATTTTTTAGCCCTTCTAATAAAGCCTCTAAATAACCTACATTGTTCTGTAATTTGACGGACTTGAAGCTACAGGGATAAACGTTCGTGCTGCCTTTTGACTAATGTGGATGAACTTATTTATTCTCCATGTTCTTTTGTAACTTTCAGTAATAATGTTTAAGTTGAATTGTGCATCCTCTTTTTTATGTTTTGGATATTGGCAGGAGCTGATGGGATTAGTAGAGGTGCAATTGGAATTGTTCCCGAGGATCTCACTGAGGAGAACTATGAGGCATGGAAAGGATGCTTGAAACATTATTTGGTCGGGCATGGCCTTTGGGGTGTTGTTTCTGGTAAGGAGCAGGATCCTATAAAAGATGAGAGTCAAGATTACGGAGAAGATAAGAAACAGGAACACGAGGAATGGCAGATGAAGAATGCATTGGCCTTACATGCCATCCAACTTTCATGCGGACCACGCACATATGTTAAATTAAAAGCCCACAATTTTGCCCAAGTTGCATGGGAGCAGTTGGATGAAAAACTAAAGCCCGACAATCTTGAAGTTGATAATGAAGGTAACTCTCTATCATGTTGCTGATAAAATGTCTATTTTTGACATATAATTTAGAAGTTAACTGATGAGGTTTTCTCTCTTGGAAAAATTTAAGTACTTTATGTGGTCATTTGATAAGTAACTTGAGTAATGGGGTGTTAGGAGCAGAAAATATTATTTAGCAATTTCTGATTTTTGTCTGTTTTTGCTCTTGGTCCATTCCTTTTTTTTTCTTTTGCTCTTTGAGCAACCAATTCCTGACCAGGGATTTTTGTGTACATTACTTCAAATAGAGCCCCAATTCATCTATTCAAGCTCTGTTGCACCAAATAATTATGGAGACTTGGGGGTTGGGAGTCCTAGCTAAATTGCCAAAAGAGGCCCTGCAGCATATCCTCCATAGCATGAACTGTGTCATTTAATCATTGCTCAATATCCAATAACAATATTGTTGCAGTGCCTACTCTGAACCAGAGGGAAAATTATTCTCCAGCCTATGATAGTTATAAACTTGCTCCTAAAGAGTACATATTCCACTAATATATTAGTAAAATGTCACCTTCATACCAAAAATTATTTCAAAGATTTTCTGATTTTGTTCTTTACTTCCTCAATTTTTTATGCTCCTCATCAAAATTTCACGTGTGCCTTGTATGAGCTCATTATTATATGTGACCATGTTCGAGATATTAAATGAAACAAATTCTAATGTTTACAGGACCGAAAGAGCACCTTCATTATGAGCAATTGTACAAAGCAATCGCGATAGGTTATTTTCGTCACACAAAACATCTACTTGATCAAGATCCACTCGCTGTTAGGGCAATAGTTTCATCACATAAAGAAACTGCACTTCACATTGCTATTCAGCATGGACGCATGAAGATTGCAAAGGAGTTATTGCAGAGAATGGCACCAGAAGACTTGGAAGTTGTTAATGAATATGGATCCACAGCTCTTACTCTTGCTGCAATCAGTGGTGTAACAAAGCTGGCAAGGACAATTGTGGAAAAAAATAATAGGCTGCTTGTTATGAAAAATGACCTTGACAATGGGCAGCTTCCTGTCATTGTGGCTGCTTTGTTTGATCAAAAGCATATGGTTAATTATCTATACAGCGTAACACCAAAGGAGCATCTAAGTCCAGATAGGGGTGACAATGGAGCTACATTGCTTAATTCGCTAATTACAGCAGAAGTATATGGTTAGATTATAGATATAACAGGCAACATACCAATCTGCAACACACACTTCTTCATTATATGTGCCTCTAACTCCTGCTTTTTAATTGTTACAGATGTTGCTTCAATGCTGCTTCGACAGTATCCAAAACTTGGCGTCACCCCTGATCATAATGGTGACTACACTCTCAGGTTACTGGCTCACAAGCCATCTGCATTTCCTAGTGGAACCAAACTTTCTTTCTGGAAAAATTGGATCTATTCATGTGAGTGTCCTTTTTCCAGTTCTACTTTACTTTGATAACTGACTTGTATGTAATGAAGCAAAATATTCTACTCTCCAATTCAATAATAAGCCAAACAGTCTAAGAGCAATGGCCATTCTACATTTTGTGGATTTTTATGATGTTTCAGTTATCATGTCAGTATGCAATGTGGATTGTTTTTTTCAGTCCAAGTTGTCGGGCAAGATAAAATCTTCCACCAACAAGAATATTAAATAGCCGTGATCAGTAAATGTGTACTAGTGTTAGGGAATGCTACTCATACCATCTATTTATGCCCCAGGTGTAATGGTACATTCTCCATCGGGGAGTCCAACAGATTCTCATGAAGATGAGGTAACAAAAACTCAAAGAGCAAGCATGACTGAAGGCCACAACATTGACATTCATGATCCTAGTGATGATGAGATGACTAAGACAGGGAATCAAGGCCTTACTAGCTCTGGTATGTAAAATACCAAGTTTCTTTTCCAAAATTCCTTCTGTTGCACATTAAAGACTTCTAATTTTTTGTGGTGGGATCTCTCCTAACTTTTTCTCTCAATTTTTTAGCAGTAGCTTGATGACAAAGTGTAATGCATTGTATTTTAATAGGTAAATAATCTGATATGTGGTGGACTATCTAGGATTGGGAGAAACCAGAGGAAAGTTCAAAAATTAAGAGGATTCAGCCCCACATTTTGGAACTTTTTGTAGTAAAGATAGAACATTGTTTCCTTTCAACGATGAGTAATGAGGAACTTTTCAATTCATGTGTGCATTAACTATAAATGGTAAAATAATAAACTCAGCTGCTTCCATTTGAAGTAACTAAAATGAAATGGCGCTTGAACCATTGGTCACCAGGTAGTGGGGCATTTGTCATCAGGTAATATCAAGGGGTTGAATATAGCTTGCTAACAGTGTCTATCACAAGAGTTCTTAAGAACGTAATCTAGCTGGCATTGCTGCATTGGCATATGCTGAAGAATCTTAACCTATCTAGCTCCAAGAATAATTCACGACTACTCCACCATGAAAGAGGGGGTCAATTGACCTCCTGACTTGCATACAGCTTTCCAAATCATTCACTACTGCTAATCTTAAAGGCAAGATAGTCAAATCTTGTTAGTATGCAAAGGACCCCAACATCAGGTTTTCTTAGGGGATTGAAACTGAAGCCTATGTTCTGTTAGACAAGAATGGATTGGTTAGGTCACCAACCTTTGCTCCTCCTGAGGCAAGTTGGACTCCTAAGTGTAAAGATAGCTTCTGAGAAGATCACCTACATAGGGATCCCAATGCAGCCGAAAAAAAATACTGAATATGTAGATAGTGCAACAAGAGATGTAAACAACAAGGCAAAACATGTATAGGGATGGTAATGTTCATCTTCAGGTCTTACCAAGTTTGGCAAAACATATCTTTGATTTTCTGTAGCCCGTGACCTTGCTCCTCTGGCAATGCTTTCAATTCTCTCAAGTTCACTACGGTAGTGGTGCATTGCTCTCGCTCTTCTTTTGTCCAATTCAGCCTGAAACATGTTAGCTCATAGCTTAGATCCATTTCATCAGTGTTACTTGTTTTCTGGCAAAATAGATGTTGGACTGAAATTAGAACCTCTGTTCTCAGAACAGTATTTTCACATGCAATTTTGCTTTGCCAAGAGACAATTTATAGCCTTATATATGCCTTGGGAGAGCGAACGAGCATTCTAGCCCGCAGGCAAGACTCTTTCGGAAACAATTTCTTACATTTAGCAGCCAGGCTGTCTCCACCATCTCAACTTGACAGGGTTTCTGGAGCAGCTCTTCAAATGCAAATGGAACTACAATGGTTTCAGGTCGCAATTCAATTCATTGTCAGTAACCTATTTTAGCTTAGTGTATCAAGTTTGTTGTCATTTCGTTTTTGTTTTTTAATTTCCGTCTTATGAAATAGAGACTCAAAAACTGCAATAATTCTTTTTCTAATGGTGTTGTCCTAGTGAGGCTTTGTACCTGACATAAGTTATTTTTTAGGAAGTTGAGAGTATTCTACCACCAAGGATGAAGAAAGAATTGAATTCTAGTGATAAAACACCTTCTGCCCTCTTCTCTGACGAGCATAAGGCATTGGCTAAGGAGGGAGAGAAATGGATGAAAAATATTGCAGGATCAAGTATGATTGTGGGAACTCTCATCGCTGCAGCCATGTTTACAACGGCTTTCACAGTTCCAGGTGGTAATGATGGTAAAACAGGGCTCCCTGTCATGATAGGTACTCAACAAAAAGCATTCTTGTTTCTTATGGCATCAAATGCAGTGTCAATGTTCACTTCTACAACATCGATTCTGATGTTCTTGGGGATTCTTACTGCACGTTATGCAGAAAAAGAATTTCTCAAGTCCTTACCTACAAAGTTAATATTTGGAATCACATTTTTGTTCGTCTCGATAGTCTTCATGATGGCATCATTTGGTACTGCTATATATCTGACGCTGATCGAACAAGTAGCTTGGATTTCCTACCCAATCATTGTTTTCTGTGTTATTCCAATAGCCCTTTACTCATTGCTGCAATTCCCTCTTCTGGTTGAGATGATCAGTCGCACTTACGGACATGGCATGTTCGACAAACGTAAAAAGAAACTCTCGAGTTTTGATACCTGAATTAGTACCAGCATCTCTCCATTCTGCTGCTTGTCGTGACATTCTGTATTTCACTCGCTTTGGATTGCTTTGAAGTTGTTTTCCAAATAATCCTTCAGTGTGATGTTTTGAATAGATTTTGTTGGAAACATCCATTTGTTTTGTCTCCAGCTTGTCCTGGAATTCTTCAGATTCCTGGAGCTATCAATAAATCATACGCATGGATTGCTTTTGATTGTTTGCCACATCAAATACTACCTAATATTTAGTATTGATATTTTAATTGTCTTTGACGAGTTCTCTTATGTACTAGTAATAGATTACGTGTTTTGCACGTGAACATGATGCTTTAAAAAAAAAAATTGCCTTAAAATTTTTAGAAAATTAATTGTTTTGAAGAAATAAATATAAGGGATAATTTCAGAAACCTCCCTCGAGGTTTCTAACAATTTTATCTAGTACCCTTGAGATTTTCAATACTACAGTTACCTTCCTTAACCCTATATAATGACCATAATAACCTTAGCATATTAATATTTTTCATGCAGTTAAACAACCCGCTCCTAATCTTGTGTATATGAATGCATCACACAATTAGACATTTAATGGAAACAAAGACAAGATTCACCCATGAGATAACCAATTATATCCTAAACATAATTTTAACATATTATAAATTAATTTTAGCTTTGTTTGAAAGATCTAGAGATGAATAGAAGAAGATGTAAGTTGAAGGTTTAAAAAGGATGGGGCTAGTATTAATATTCCAACATTTGAGGGATAAGATGTTATACAAATGCAGTTGGGGAAATTTTTTGAGTTTAATAATGTTAATTTTTTTCTTTTTTAAGTTAGATTGAGGTTTTAAAATTTAGGGACAGATGGTGGTGACGATCATGGTGATAATGGTACTAATTTGAGATGTGGGAATATGAAAGATTTAACATAGTAGAGATGATGGTTGAAAGCAGGATTGAGATCTTATGCATGCTCCATTTTTTTAAAAAAATTTTAAGAAGGTAAAATGAACGTCACAATTTCATGAGGGCGTTTTCGGTTATTCATTCAAAATTTTGACCATTGAATGGTTTTAGTTACCAAAATGATAAAGTCAAGGGATATATGTGTAATTTTTGAAAGCCGAAGACAACTAGGTGAAATTGTCAAAAACCTCAAGGGAGGTTTTTGAAATTATCCCTAAATGTAATTAAGACAAAAAAAATGTGATATTTAATATTTATATTATTTTATATTTTTTCTGAACTTGGTTTGCCATAACCAACAAAAATGTACAATAAAGCATTCTTTGTCCCAAGAACACATTTATTTTGTTGTAGCATTAATGTTTTTATCTTTTTGTTAAATTTGGATGACCTAAATGCTCTCTTTTATGTCTTTTGAGTTAAGGTTTTAATTTTTTGAATAATTTATGGTTCCACTTTAAGTCATTCTATGAATTTTTTCTTAGTTTTAGTGAGCTTTTCTAAGTATTATTATTATTGCTAATGGTGGATTGTAAAATGATCTATAGTGCTATTGTAATTATAATAGTATTAAATATGTTGAAATTCCATTGTTCAAATTTAAATAGCTAAATTTTGAAGGAAAATGTTTTGATCTTATGAGACTTATTTGTATTTCTCATTGATGATATGCTTTATGATTAAAGATTGTAAGCCATTACGATTATTTATTATATAATAGTCACATTGAACTTGGACATATTTTTATTCACATTTGAAGTACTCTTTGAAATTGGATATTTTATAGAAATATATATATATATATATATTGTTTAATTCACCATAACTCAAAGGGATGTTTCACATGTTTCACCTTTATAACTGTTATTATAATTGGCTTTGATGTATATAATGTTCATTAATTGTAATTTAATGCTGTCAGTTCTTAAAAGAATACCATTAACAAAATTCATTAAAATTTAATTTTTGTTGCAATTTAAAAAAATAAATTTTCAACATAAAACTCTTTACCTACCCTCGTACTCCATCTCCTATTATATTTTGTGTTAAAGTTTCTTAATCAATACTAATATATTTTTACTGAAAAGGTGCGCTAAAGACTTAATTTACTTGTATCCAAAAAACAAAAAGAGCGCATGGTACTTTTAACTGACTGATAATACCAATTTATTGTATTTTGTTTCATATTTGAAGTGCTCTTTAAACTTGGGTGTTTTGTAAATAAAATTTGTTCTTCTTTCTTTTGGTACATAAAAAAGTAAGGAATCTTCTTTTTTTCGTATCTGCTAGCATGTTTGCAAAGTCACGAAGAACAATCTTCCAAAGATGAAGGAGAGCAGTATATCACACGATACCATTGTCCATGACCTTGAGGCTACTTAAGTGAGATAGATTTTACTCAAATGAGCTAGATTTCATATTTTAAGAATTAAAGTGTCTCGTTTAAAATTTTAAAAATTAAAATGAAAATTTAAGTGTAATTGAAGAGTACAAAGTGAAATTAACCCTAAATCATACATGCCGACCTGCAACTCGACAGCATCAGCGGAGGTGTCAAATGCCAACAGCCTCCAGCAATTCTTTCCCTAAAACTGTGATTGCAGAGGAAAAATATAGAGTAACCGAGAGTGGCTTTTACCTACCTATTCCTTTTGTAACATCTCAAGGTAAACTACAGCTTCTGGTGGAATCCCTACATGTCCTCCTAATTGTAAACATTTTAAAGTTTCATTTGTTAAATTTTTCCCATGTTAAAAATTTCTGTAGAAACTTTTACCTGCCTAGGAGCCCTCGTTGAGCCCAAAAAACTTAGTAATAACATGCATTTACTAGCCTTGGCCATTATTTCATCAGTTCATTATCATTTTTTCTTTGCGGCATTGGAGGGACTTGAAGCCTTAGAAAAGAGAAGGACCTGAAGTAAATTGTGTGACTTTTGAGTTACCTGATTATTGTCCTTACCAACTAAGCTAATTTTAGGATGTGGAGTACCTTTTACCATAATATGTGTTGAATACCCTAATAATATTTTTTTTTCTTCAAATTTAACTCAGAATTTTTTGAACTTTTCTTCTTGGCAAGTTCTTGTGGAAGGAAATTACATGGTATCACCTCCTTTATCCAAAATTTCAAATTAAGAATGTTAATATTACATATATAAGGCAACAGGTGTTATAAAACTAATCAAATAAGCTACTATAATATCAAGTGAAATATTGGAGAAAGAAGTAGAGAAATGGAGAGTAATATTCTTATATTCCAATAAGATACAAAAGTCATACCAAAGGGTTTCCATGTACCTCTATATATAGGCACTACAAGATTAAAGGTACATAAATCCTATTAAACATCCACTATTACAATAATATGAAGAAACCTATGAAACGGTTTCTCCACTACATGAATGGATTTATGAATTGTAACTTCTATACATAAGTAGCTATAAAATCATGAATTAATCCCCTTGGGAATACAAAGGGACATCCACATTTTTGTTATTTCATAACACTCCCCCTTGGATGTCCATTACACAAAGAATATGCCTCGTTAAAACCTTACTAGGGAAAAACCCAGTGGGACCAAAAAAACCCTAGTGAAGGAAAAAGAGTACACTATTCTTGTGTAATAATTTCTCCCCCTGATGCAAACGTCATTTGAGATCTTTTAATCGTTGCATTCCAATACTCTTCACCAATTTCTCAAATGTCGCAGTTGGTAATGCCTTGGTAAATAAATCGGCCAGATTATTATCTGATCGGATTTGTTGCACATCAATTTCACTATTCTTTTGCAAATCATGAGTAAAAAAGAATTTTGGTGAAATATGTTTCGTCCTATCTCCTTTAATATATCCTCCTTTCAATTGAGCTATACAAGCTGCATTATCTTCATATAATATAGTTGGAGGATTTTCTTTTCCGGAGGATAACCCACAATTCTTCCGGATATAGTGGGTCATTGATCTTAACCAAACACATTCTCGACTGGCTTCATGAATTGCTATTATTTCAGCATGATTCGATGAAGTGGCGGCTAGTGATTGCTTTGTAGATCGCCAAGAAATGGCTGTGCCTCCATATGTAAATAAATAACCAGTCTGAGACCTTGCTTTATGCGGGTCGGATAAATACCCAGCATCAGCATAACCAACCAATTCAGGTTTGGATTTATTTGAATAAAATAAACCAAGATCTATTGTTCCTTGGAGATAGCGAAAAATATGTTTAATACCATTCCAATGTCGTCTTGTGGGCGAGGAACTAAATCTTGCTAATAAATTTACTGCAAATGATATATCAGGCCTTGTACAATTAGCAAGATACATTAGTGCACCAATTGCACTAAGATATGGTACTTCAGGACCAAGTATCTCTTCATTTTCTTCTCGTGGTCTAAAAGGATCCTTATTAGGATCTAATGATCTGACAACCATTGGGGTACTCAATGTATGTGCTTTGTCCATATAAAATCGCTTTAATACCTTCCGGGTATAAGCAGTTTGGTGGACAAAAATGCCACCTTTCAAATGCTCAATTTGTAAACCAAGGCAGAATTTTGTCTTTCCAAAATCTTTGATCTCAAATTCTTTCTTCAAATATTCAACACTATTTTGAATCTCTTCAGGAGTTCCAATTAAATTTAGATCATCAACATATACCGCAATTATCACAAAATTTGATCCATTTTTCTTGATAAAAACACATGGACATATTGGATCATTGGTATAACCTTCTTTTGTCAGACATTCATTGAGACGGTTATACCACATACGTCCAGATTGTTTGAGCCCATACAGAGACCTTTGTAATTTAATAGAATAAATATTTTTAGGATTTGATTTGCATGCTTCAGGCATGTTGAATCCTTCGGGAATTCTCATATAAATATCATTTTCAAGATTCCCATATAAATATGCAGTAACGACGTCCATTAGACGCATATCTAATTTTTCATGTACTGCAAAACTCAAAAGATATCTAAATGTGATAGCATCCACTACAGGTGAATACGTTTCATCATAATCAAATCCAGGCCTTTGTGAAAATCCTTGGGCTACAAGTCTTGCTTTATATCTCACAATTTCATTTTTCTCATTTCTTTTTCTCACAAATACCCATTTATATCCTACTGGCTTTACACCTTCAGGTGTTTGGACTACAGGTCCAAAAACTTTTCTTTTAGCCAGTGAGTCCAATTCAGATTGGATCGCATCTTTCCATTTTGGCCAATCATTTCTACCTCGACATTCATCAACCGATCTAGGCTCATGATCCTCGTCCTCTGCCATAATATCAAGTGCTATATTATATGCGAAAATATTATCAATAATTATTTTTTTTCGGTTCCAACTTTTTCTTGAAGTGACAAAATTTATTAAATTTTCTATAATTTCATTCTCTTCAAGAATTGGTTCTTTAGGAGCGACCTCTTCAGGAGGTTGAATTTTATCACTAATTGTTGATTCATCTACTCCTCTTTTCTTTCGAGAATTTTTATCTTTGGAACTAAGAGGTCTCCCACGCTTCAGGCGTGCTTTAGACTCATTAGCACTTGTGATTTGTCCTTCAGGGACATCAATTTTAATCGGAGCATTTTCAGCAGGAATATGTAATTTAGTAACTCTTTTGGAGTCATTAAATGCATCCGGTAATTGATTTGCAATTTTTTGCAAATGTATAATCCTTTGAATTTCTAATTCACATTCTTTAGTACGAGAATCAAGGAAATTCAATGATATTTTCCAAGTGATTTCCTTTTTCGGTTGATTTTTATCTCCCCCTAATGTCGAAAAATGTGATTCGTCAAAATGACAATCTGCAAATCTCGCAGTAAATAAATCACATGTTAATGGTTCCATATACTAAATGATTGAAGGTGATTCATATCCGACATATATCTCCAATCTTCTTTGTGGGCCCAATTTACGACGTTGGGGCGGTGCAATTGGAACATACACCGCACAACCAAATATTCGTAAATGAGAAATATTTGGCTCATAACCAAAAGTTAATTATAGGAGAGAATAAGTGTGATAATTTGTCGGCCTAATTCTCACAAGTGTTGCTGCATGTAAAATAGCATGTCCCCAAGCAGATGAAGGAATCTTAGACCTCATCAACAATGGTCTAGCAATTAATTGTAGCCGTTTAATAAGTGATTCGGCTAGACCATTTTGTGTGTGAACATAGGCTACAGGATGTTCAACAGTTATTCCAATGGACATACAATAATCTTCAAAAGCATGTAACGAATATTCACCAGCATTATCTAGACGAATTTTCTTTATTGGAAAATCTGGAAATTGTGCTCGCAATTTAATTATTTAAGCAAGCAATCTCGCAAATGCCAAGTTGCGAGTAGATAATAAACATACATGTGACCATCTAGTTGATGCATCAATTAGCACCATAAAATATCGAAATGGTCCACATGGTGAATCTACAGGCCCACATATATCACCATGAATTCGTTCTAGAAATGCAGGGGATTCAGTCCCAACTTTAACTTGTGATGGTCTAATAATTAATTTCCCTTGAGAACAAGCAACACAAGAGAATTCATTGACTTTTAATACTTTTTTATTTTTCAATGAGTGGCCATGTGAATTCTCAATTATTCGTCTCATCATTATAGATCCAGAATGTCCGAGACGATCATGCCAAATCATAAAATCATCGGGATAAGTAGACTTCTAGTCTACTAGGTGATGAATTTCAATTGCACTAATTTGTGCATAATATAACCCAGAAGAAAAAGAAGGTAATTTTTCTACTTTGCATTTTTTCCCATAAATGATACTTGTGATTAATAAAAATTCACCATTTGTCTCAGTCATTGTCTCGATATGATATCCATTTTCGCGGATATCTTTAAAACTCAATAAGTTTCTTCGAGACTTAGGAGAGAATAGTGCATTATTTACAATAATTTTAGTCCCTTCAGGGAGAAATATAGTGGCTCTTCCGGAGCTTTCAATCAATTTTACACTACCACTAATGGTATTAACATTTGTCTCTCCCATTTTCAAACAAGAAAAATATTTTTTATTTTTCAATATGGTGTGCGTAGTAGCACTATCAATGAGACAAATATCATAATCACTATTATTTAATCCCAAATATTTGACATCCATTTCTTCTTCAGGAAGAAAAATTCAAACAAAAATAAATATTAATAAAGATGCGAAAATAAATATTCAATGAAAAGGAAATTACATGAAAGATATAAAGCATCATAAAAATATCTAAATAATCATGGGATATTTGTTGACATCTTCAGGATGTTCAAAAAAATCAGCAACATCGAGGTGTGTCATGTCAGCATCATCACCATCATCATAGTCATTCTTTTGATCAATGAAATTTGTCTCAACACCTTTGTCTTTATTTTTCAATGATGCTTGATAGAGGTCAACAAGATATTCGGCCGTACAACAGGTACGAGACCAATGACCTTCCATACCACACTGGTAGCATTTTTCTTCATAAACTTTCTTTTCTCCATTTTTCTGATCGTAGTTATTTTCCCTCTTTTGGGAAACATTTTGTTGCTTGCCACGGTTAAAATTTTCACAGGGCACAAATTTACTACGATCACGTCCACGGCCACGACCACGTCCGCGGCCTCCTCCACGGCCACCTCTACGGCCACGTCCACGACCTCGACCAGAATTTTGAAATTGGGTCGCATTCGCTTCAGGGAATGGACTTGCACCAGTTGGTCGGGACTCATGATTTTTCAGCAACAATTCATTGTTTTGTTCAGCCAAGAGAAGACATGCAATAAGTTCAGAATATTTTTTAAACCCCTTCTCTCGATATTGCTGCTGCAGGAGCATGTTAGAGACATGAAAAGTAGAAAATGTTTTCTCTAACATATCTTCATCAGTGACTTTTTCGCCACATAATGATAATTGAGAAGTGATTTTGAACATAGCTGAATTATATTCGTTGACAGATTTAAAATCTTGCAGCCGTAAGTGAAGCCAATCATATCGGGCTTTTGGAAGAACGACCAACTTCAGGTGGTCGAATCTTTCTTTCAAATCTCGTCAAAGGACAAGAGGATCTTTAACAGTAAGATATTCTGATTTTAATCCTTCATCTAAATGATGACGAAGAAAAATCATAGCTTTGGCACGGTCTTGGTTTGAGGATTCATTTTTTTCCACAATAGTATTACCAAGACCCATTGCCTCAAGATGGATTTCAACATCCAATACCCATGATAAATAATTTTTTCCAGAAATATCAAGAGGTACAAACTCTTGTTTTGTAAGATTAGCCATAAGAAATTGAAATAAGATTTTGACTTAGAAATTTACCTCAAAAGTCACTTGAAGAAATACGGGTAGAATTTCGGCAAAATCTTGTGCTTCACTTTTGTTCAAAGTAGCGCCTCCGTTTTCACCTTTTTGCTCAAAAGTAGAGTTTTCGTGCTGATAACGTGTTATAAAACTAATCAAATAAGCTACTATAATATCAAGTGAAATATTGGAGAAAGAAGTAGAGAAATGGAGAGTAATATTCTTATATTCCAATAAAATACAAAAGTCCTTCCAAAGGGTATCAATGTACCTCTATATATATGTACTACAAGATTAAAGGTACATAAATCCTATTAAACATCCACTACTACAATAATATGAAGAAACCTATGAAACGGTTCTTCCACTACATGAATAGATTTATGGATTGTAACTTCTATACATTATGTAACCATAAATCAAGAATTAATCCTCTTGGGAATACAAAGGGACATCCACATTTTTGTTATTTCATAACAACAAGTGAATTTTTCAGTTCTTTGTAAACAATCAAGATGATGAGCACTACAAAGCTTGCCTTTTCATTTTCTTGACTCTTTTCTAGGATAATGTTATTTACTTATTTTCAAATAGTTATGAATCTTTTTTGTTTTGTTTTTGTTTTTTCGCTTTTAAAGTTATCAAAAAGTGAATGATATTGGAATACTTGACTTCCTTTTATCCTGTCTAGGATTTGTAAAGAAAAGAGAGTAAACTCAAACGACAACCTGCCACTACTCCAATATCAATTTGCTGCTCCAAATTCCAATTGCGTCAAATTATCACCTCCATTTCTCATATTTTCTCCATTTTCTATAATTTTGCCCTAGGTCAAGTCAAAATGTCTTGTATGCACTAATAGAGAATCAGCTCCACAAGTTAAGCTCAGATATCTAACTCATCACATATGCCCTTTATTTTTTGGGTAAAATACACTTTAACCCCCTGTGATTTAGCACCTTGTAACATAACCTCCCTAAGTTTTCAAAAACTATACATAACCCCCTCATAATTTAGATTACAGTGTCAAAATAAATTCAACAATGGTTGATTGTCAAAATTAAATTGGCGTCAGTCAACAGCTTTGAATTTACACTTTGGGTCTCCAATATTTGAACTTTGAATCATTATAGTTCCTTAAGTTCTAAATACTGGTATTGATGTTTTAGAATGAAATGAGATGTGAATTGGATCAAAATTTTGTTAGATATGTACTAGAATTTCTAATGAAAAATACATGGAAAATTTATTAAACTTCATTTTTTTTGTTTTCATTTCATATTTTCATGCCACTAATTATGCATATGCTTTTTCTCTATTGCATAGTTGGTTTCAAAATTGGCATAAGGTATGCATTTGTTGTTTTGCACGATGAATTATTAATTGATGATGAGATGTATCATTGTTCACTTATGTTGATAATTAAATTCTCAATTAAACATTCTTTAAGAATATGAAGAATATATACTATATTTAAACTAAGTTGATCATGTTTTCTTTTCTTTTTCCTTTTTTCATTTGAATGTGCTATCATTTAAGTTTAAAATGAAGCAGATATTTTTTAGAAGCATTTTAATTGTTTAATAAAATTGTCAGTGTATAAAAAGATGAAAGTTAATATTTTAAAACTTTCCTATTGAAATGTCTTATTTTAATAGGTAGGAAAGACAAGAAAAAACAAATGAAGTTTTTCAAAGGTAAATTTCTTATACACCCCTAGTAGTTAAACATTTTTTAAAATACATTCCTTATAGTTCAAACATATCCACTTACACCCCTTGTGCTTTGGATTCAAGTGGAAGTGAAATAGAAACATACTCCATTAATGGAGATTTCACTATACGTGCTCCTATAGTGTAACAGATTAATGTGAGGTCTTAGGTATGTTTTTCTTTTGAAAATGCCTCCAAATGAATGTTTACCATTTATAAAGAGCCTAAAATAGATTTGGCAACTAAATTTATTTTTAACATTTTTGTAGACAAAAAACGTTCATTTGGGGGGCATTTCTGGAAGAAAAACATCACTAAATCCTCGCACTAAAATCAAGTAACCAATCACATTATTGGAGCATGTATGTTCAATTCTCCATTAATTGAGTGCATTTTTGTTTGTTTTTCACTTAAATCTAGAGCACAAGGAGTGTAAATGGACAATTCTTTTTTAACTATAAAAGGTGCATCTTAAAAAGTGTTTAACCACTAGGGGTCTATGTGAAATTTACACTTTTTTAAAACATTCCCATAAGTAGTTGATGTTTGTACCTACTTTTACTAGCTTTAATAATTGCAATCCCAAACTATAAACATTCGAAGGTCTACATTCACAAGTCATGCAAGAATTTGTGTAGTAATAATTAGAATAATGTTACGTAATAGAAAATTAGTTTTTCTATTTTCTTGTGCTAGTTTTTATTTTGAATATTATTTGTGTATTAACAAAGTGGTGCCCTTCTGCTAAACAATTATGTTGTGCCAATTTGAAGTGGTTTCAGGAAGGTTATTGTGATCAAGGGATGCATTTTTCATATATTTAAAATCCTAACGATAACTATTTAAAATATTAATTGAAATTTCAAAACATTAGGAACCAAAAATGCAAAGTTAAAATTTTCAACTAACAACGATTTGGTATTGACTCTTAGTTATTGCAATTTTTGGTTAATTGTCTTAAATTTGTCTAAAATCAGAAACTTTGAGAATCACTTTTATTTTAGTCAAAATATTAGAGACTAATTTGACATACAAACCAAACATTGGGTATAAAAAATGTGCATTGATGCAGTTAAAACTAGGACTACAAACAAATCGAGTCGTTTGCGAGCTGATTGCAAGCGGGTCGAGTCTGAGCTCGACTTGAGTTCGAATTCAAGTTCAATAATATTAAATTCGTTAGCTTGCGAGTGGGATCGAACTCGATTATATATATTTTTATTTTTTATTTTAATAGTAAAATTACATATATATCCCTAATATTTTATTATTTGTTAAAAAAAATTATTATTTTATTCATTTTTAAAAATATAAATAAATTATTTTTTATTTTTTAAGCTCGAACTTGATATTTTGAACTTGTCGAATTCGAGTTCGAGTTTTGTAAAATAATGTTGAAACTCGGCTCGATTAAAATCGAAACTCGATTCGGTTCAACTCCTCTGCATCCCCACTTGAAACATAAGGGCAGTGATTCCAGAGTACAACTAAAGGGGTTCTCAGAATTGACCCGTAAAAGTGAAGCACTTTTGGTAAATTTAAAATTCCACTACCAAAATTGTGATCATATCCATGATTCCATTCTGGAATCATAGAGAGCCCCCCTTGACCTGCTTCGGTAACAAAATGCAGAACGAATACACAGAATTTCTTGGGACGGATCAAATTGGGCCTAGCAAGTTTTTGGATCATGAATAGATATTTCCGCCCCCTCCCTAAGATTGTTAACTTAATCAAACAAATTATACAGTGAATACCTCTTCTTCTTCTTCTTCTTTTTTTTCAAATTTACATAGTGGAACCTTGACATGTGAACCACATGGGAATAATATTATGGCTGCATCTCTAACCACTTTACTCCAAGTTACATCATATCTTTAGTCAGAAACAAGATAGACAAAAAGAAAGAAAAAAGTGCAAAAGAGGTAAGAATGAGAATCACTTGAATAGAGAGTAAGAATATTGTTAATTTCATTTTTGGCCAAAGAATGTTTTATGCATCTATAAATGCAAGTACTAGTCTTAATAGAATGACTGTATTAGTTTCACTTTCTCTGTTGCAAAAGATTACGGCTGAAGGATGACGAAAACTTCAGGTTAGTCTGAAAATTGTATTTTTTTTCTCTGGTTCCCATATTTAATTGTACATATGTGCTCATTTACACTATTTAATTGACTTATTGTTAGTACAAAAGCCATGCTGTTATTCATTTCTTCCTTTTTTTTTCCCAATTTCATTGGAATTGTAGGAAATAGCCAAAATGCAAAATCTTATAAGGCTCTCAATGATGATCCTTTTGCTCATAATTTTGAGCATTATATAGCAGCAGTTGTAATAGTCAATAAATGACTCTATATATATATATATATATTTCAAATAACCACTTCTAATATTCAAGCAATGAGTCCTATTCATAAGCTTGATCTATGATTTCACATGTGGTCATTGTAACATCAGCAAAGTCATATATAATATAAGTGGCATCTTCAAATTACATTATCTAAATCCATTATAGTTTGACTTTCTCACCAATATGTCATAGACCATTATAGGTAACACTTTATCATTCAAATTTCCCGAATTGGATTTTGTGTGGTGGAGATTGAAGATGGAAGAAATCTTGAAAATGTGATAAGCCACGCAGATGAACAATGTTATCATGGTCTTTTACGTTGTAATATTTACAAGCATTGGTTTAGTGTATATATAGTGCCTTGTACAATAATACTAAACAATATTTTTAGACCCGAATCAGTGGATGAATCTAATGAGCTTTTAGTTTGCGGTTCAACCAGTTTAAGTGATTGAGTCAAATATACAGCTTTTTATTCATTTTAGAATTAGAAAATCTGAATAATACTATGAAAAATATTTTCTAGTAACTAACTGGCTCAACCATGCAAGCTTTATCAGTT